GTGTATGCAGGGGGGAGGGAGTTTCGGGGGTTGAACCCCCCCCCCCCCCTCCTCCAATTTTGTTTAGACTATGTGTGTGTGTGTTTTTGAGGAAACCCCCCCCCCCTCACTTTTTTAATAACAAAAATAAATTAAACATTTTTTGTGCTAAAGGGTGACCCAAAAAAGGTGACCTTACCCCCCACCAACTGAACAAAATATCGGTCTCCCAAATTTCATATTTTCGGGGAAAAAAAGAAGGAAAAAAAAAGGTGCTCTTTACCACCCCCGGCTTATTCACCGGCTGGCCGAGTCGTTGTGAAATTGACTGCGTGATTTTCAAATTTTACCCCCCGGCCCCCCCCCCCCCCTCGAAAAAATCCTCCGTACGCCCCCGTCATGTAGATCCTCAAGTAGAGCTCATTGATATCAGACTATTATATTCAGATCCAGATCGAAAAAATCTATCGTTTTCATGGCCTCTTTTACTTTCTTACATTTATAATTTCTAATTGCAATCACTTTCTAGGCCTAACTGTCGGCCATTCTAGTAGACCCTATTCCATTATCAATTATAGGATCTAGAAAGTCTATTCATATTTCATGAGACATAAATCTCATATTACTGTACATTTCTACCTAAAACACGAGACGAGTGTACTTAAGCAGCTTAAAAGACAATCAGTCTACTTAAAATGCACACACATTTGAACATACGGGACTAGATCTAGGCCTACATTTACTAAAGTTGGATCTCGGCCCACTCTCATTACGTCGTATTATCAGCTTTATTAGTCATAAAAATGAATAACCACAAACTTTGGTTTTCTTACCGTACAAATGATACTGGATTGGAAGAAAATCACTGCAGAATAGCGGACTATGTACAAGATTATGATGTTGATTCGATACGAATCCCGTTGTTTGCAACAGGACAGCTGATCACGGCGAAGGTGAAAATGGACTAGAATTATGTCCCGGCATGCTTTGCGATGAAACAACCGTGAAGGCACGTATTCATTTGAAACAAATCCAACATAATTCTATTTTACACTGAAGAGTTTTTTAAGATGTAGTTGCCTTGTAATCCACTCAATCGGTTTTTGTGTCAAAAATAAAGTAATGAAGGGCAATATGATAGTGTATTTGAGATATCATTTAGGGTATATTTGATTTCACTCTCGACAGCATTTAGCGTCTTTGTCAAGATATTGACCTAGAAAATGGTACCACGGTAATTGTAATGGATGCAGAGAAAGAAATTCGGCTTTGAGTCTCTCAATTATTTACCGTAATGCACGATGATATTGATATGTCCTTTGTAGTTTGTGTCGGGGTCCAGGCGCGGATCCAGGATTTCTTAGGGGAGGGGGCCCAACTTTTTTTTTTTTGCTCCCGAAAATTTGAAAATCGCGCCGGCCGAAAAGTCGCTCAGCGGGGGGGGGGGGGGGGGGGGGGGGGGGGGGGGGGGTACAGAGCACTTTTTTTTTTTTTTTTTTTTTTTTTTTTGCTCCCGAAAATTTGAAAAACGCGCCGGCCAAAAATTCGCTCAGTGGGGGGGGGGGGGGGGGGGGGGGGGGGGGGGGGGGGGGGGGGGGGGTAGTGAGCACATTTTTTTTTTTTGATCCTCAAAAAAATTCAATTTGCACCCCCCCCCTTGAGCGCCAGGGGGGGGGGCCCAACCCCCAAAAAAGGTAAAAATCACGTGATTTTACATTATTTTTTTTCAAGGGAGGGGGCCCGGGCCCCCGGGCCCCCCCCCTGGATCCGCCACTGTCGGGGTCTTTATGATGCAATTATTCTCCGAAAGGGGGCACGCTGACACTTCTTCCATATAATGATCCTGTGCGCTTTTAATGGTTTCTTGTATTTCCTATACAGTGCGTATAAGAAAAATATACCCAACTTTGGTAGGTCCTAACAAAAAAGTCAGAAAAAATATGAACTTGAAATATATTCCGTGGTAAATGATATCCTATTACTTTGGTCTTAAATCATTTTAGAAGTAAAATTCTGCTTCATGTTTCAGTGTCTCATTATTTAAATGGATCCAGTGCATCTAGGCTTTCACATGACATTGTTTCACTATTCATTGTACACGATAATCTTTCATTATTCTAAACAGTTTTCCAGCTTCTTGTTTCATGATATCTAAGATCTCTAACACATAAGGTATTTGTCACGCGCAGCTGAAGAAAACTCAGAGATTTACTAACTTTAAAATTTTAGTCAATGCAAAGAAGAACACATGTTGATAACTACCAAAGATATTGGCATTGGACTGTCGTTAAAAAAAAACTGTAAATGAATCCCAAATTAACTTTTTCCATTTTTAATAATTTGCAAGGCTTATCTTAAACAAGGGATGTGAGTGAAAGCAAGATTGTGTCACCATCAGATCATAAAAAAGAAAATATCGTGAATTTCACAAAATCAATGCGAATAATTATGTCAGCAATTGTTTTTGGACTGAAATAACAATGCGTAAGATCATTTGACCCACATTCAATGTTCAGCTCTAACTTGGTACGAGAGGATTTTGACAATTATACTTTTTGCGAAACTTAAAGCTTGTCGTCTTCATGACTCATAATTATGTTGCCCTGACCATAGGCCTTGGAAGTGGGGGGGGGGGGGGGGGCAGGGGGCACTTGCCCCCAAACAAAAAAGTCGGGGGGGGGGGGGGGGCAAAACGCATTTTTGCCCCCAAAAAACGCCCCCCCCCCCTCCAAAAAAAAAGAAAGAAATGCTGTAAAGGAGTAAAGACGGTTTAGATGCTGCTTGTAAGTGTCGGCTTGCATGGTGATGTAGATATACAGTAGGTTTGCGGTTGCACGAGAGGTTTGACGAGTCCTGAAAAGGACTCTGACTCGGTAATCTTTCTTGGAGGAGTGTAGTCCTGAAAAGGACTGTTTGTTATCTTTCTTAGCATATAGTTCTCAGGAGAACTATAGCGCTTGGAGAGGATGAGTGGCTCGACGTTTCGAACAGGTTGACTATCCGTCGTCCCTCTCTCACACATGGTGCAACCGCAAACCTACTGTATAAAGATGGTTTGTATTTTAAACCCAAAAGAACATAACAATAATAAAAACCGGAATTAAATCACATATAAAATTCCATTCAAAGAAAAGGAAAGTTAACAGGAATTCAATTTTCTAAACATTCCGCATGCCACCTATATTTATCAATAGAGGTTTTTTTTATTATAGCGATACGCGCATATCGTGGAAATATTATGAGAGGATGGGAAAGCGTGTGTGTTTTTTTGTTATAGGGGTGAGAAGACATGAGACATGAGACATAATTAACACTGGCTTACTGATGGGGGGGGGGGGGGTATTTCTTATTCGATACCACTGATTTACAAATATTGCTGAAATTACATGATTTCCTTGTATTTTTTCTCAATTTTTTTTAGTCATACACCTTTTTATGAGTTTGTTGGAAAATTAGAAATTCCCTAATTTACAGTCGGGCGAAAAATATGCTTATTCAGAAGCATTTAGGTCAGGGCCTGAAGAAACGGCTGGGCTAGGGGGCTCGAGCCCCCCTCACTTTTTGAAAAAGTATGTTACAGAGAAAAAGAAAGAAAGAGAGAGAGAGACAAAAATTAGAGACCTGCCAATGTCACAAAAGAGGTATCAAAATATGCACACCTGACCGTAATAAAATGCCTAAAACCCCAGAGCTTACGGGGGCTCTGCCCCCGGACTCCACCAAGAGCCCTAAGACGGTCCCCTGGATGCCCACATGACCGTAATTAAATACCTAAAAAAAACCGAGCTTCCGGGGACTCTGCCCCCTGGACCCAACCAAGTGCCCTAAGACGGGCCCCTGGACGCTCATCTGACTGTAATTAAATACCTAAAACCCCTGAGCTTCTGGGGGCTTTGCCCCCTGGACCCCACCAAGGGCCCTAAGGCGGGCCCCTGAATGCTTATTTGACCGTAATTAGTTACCTGAAACTCCTTAGCTTCCGCACCACATCAATTGCCTTAAATAGGGCCCCTGGATGCTCATCTGACCGTAGTTAAATACCTAAAACCCCTGAGCTTCCGGGGGTTCTGCCCCTGGACCCCCACCAAGGGCCCTAAGGCCGCCCCTAAATGCTCATTTGACCGTAATTAGATACCTGAAACTCCTTAGCTTCCGCACCACATCAATTGCCTTAAATAGGGCCCCTGGATGCTCATCTGACCGTAATTAAATACCTAAAACCCCTGAGCTTCCGGGGGTTCTGCCCCCTGGACCCCCACCAAGGGCCCTAAGGCGGCCCCTGAATGCTCATTTGACCGTAATTAGATATCTGAAACTCCTTAGATTCCGGATCACATCAATTGCCTTAAATAGGGCCCCTGGATACTCATCTAACCGTAATTAATACCTAAAACCCCTGAGCTTCCGGGGGCTCTGTCCCCTGGACTCTCCGCCAATTAGTGACCTAACAGTGTCACAAATAAGGTATATAAATATGCTCATCTGACCGTAATTTAATGCCTTAAAACGCTGAGCTTTCGGGGGCTCAGCCCCTTGAACCCCTGCCGTTTGCCCCCCCCCCCCCCCCCATCCCAAACTGCTTCCGGCGCGCCTGGCCCTGACTGTACCAAAATTATGTATTAAAGTAAAACAATTTTAGGGTATTAAAACGAAGTAAAGAACAAAAGTACCCCATCCCCACACCGACCTACACGCCCTCGCACACACAAGGGTAGGAGGTGGACCAAGGAAAACACATAAAACAAACAAAACATCGTGCAACCTCAAATGTTAAATGATTGTTTACAGAAAGACATAAAAATAGATAACGAGTTTGATCAACTGTAAGCCTGGTAAGTTAGTTTATCAGATTAGACTTTTATACAATACATGTTTGCGAGTGCATTAGTGCATATCTCTAATCCACGAGTCAAAAACATGTATCTTTTTTTTTATAAGAGGGGTATAAAGTCGAGAAATTGACGGTTGTAATCACCAAAATGCATACCCATAAAATCAACCTAGTCAGCCAATAGATTTATTAAACCTCATGGCCTCTGTGTAAAATCTGTTGCAAAATGGCGTATTTTGTTGGTTTGCCATATGTTCCCGATGGGAGGATCATTATTAGTGTTCTTTTGATGCTATGTATCGTTAGTGCTCAAAGAGAGATCACCATTCCTAACCTGGGTAAAGTCGAGGGGAAAATAGTCAATTTTGAAGAGGATAATTTCATTGGTGTTTCAACAGAGATAGATGCATTTCTGGTAAATACACGGTATTATACAGGATTCTGTTTTTGTAATTAATAAGTGGAACACTTTGTGCACATACATTTTATAGCATGCTGTTATTAGTTGATATTACTGCTGGATAAGGATACAAAGTATTTCCTTGTTCTATTGGGGTGATTGTACTCCGTTTTCCGATTCCAACATGTGCAAAATGACTCTGCGATTGATTTTTATATTATCATTAATCATTTCACAAAATTTCGGTATTCAACAATAAGTCACTTCTGAATGACGTGTGTAAAATCGTTGTTGAAATAACAACATAATTAGAGTAGAAAGTGGTAGTTAAACTAGCAGTAGTAATAGTAGTATGGTAGTAGTAGTAGTAGTAGTAGTAGTAGTAGTAGTAGTAGTAGTAGTTATAATATTATTAGTAAGTATATAGTTATAATATAGTAGTAGTAGAATATACGCGTTCCACAAAATACATTGCACATAATGAATGAAGTAAGGGTCGTCGTAGAAATTAAATATAATCTTGCTTTGGATGTCACCAGAACAACAACAACAGCAACAACAACATCACCAACATAAATGTGTTTCGCCCTTTAACACAACAGGGTATCCCTTATGCGGAGAACCCACCCACCCGCTTCGCTCAAGCCACGCCCAAAGCACCATGGAGTGACGTATGGAACGCCACTTACTTCAGATCACCTTGTGCTCAACTCGGCAATGAAGTAGATACATGGAGTGAAGATTGTCTTCATCTTAACATCTTCGTCAAGCATCCAAGAGTAAGCAATGAATATACTCCGATTTTTTGTTTTTGTTTTCTCATAAAAAATATTTGAGATATTCGGTTATGATTTTCTGATTTTATAAACATTCTTAGCCCAAATTTGCATTTCTTTTGTCTAAGGTAGATGATAATTTACATTCATTCTCTTTCGATCTAGTGACTTTAAAACGAATTCGGGCCATACTCAAAACCTTTAACTAACTATTCTCCGATATGCATTTGATCTTTTAGCAAAAAAACAAAAAAATGATTTAGTAAATAGAACACCTTCCCCGCTCTCATCACCTTTTATTTTGAGTCCTTCTTCTTAATTAGATTGTATATTCATTGTATACTTGGTGAATTTTCGAATAATTTTGTAACCGTATTTTGAGTCTTCTCTAGACAGTGTATTGCTGATACTCGAAGTTATGGATGTTATTTCAATACTTTGATTTGGTAGAACGTTCTCTTGTTTTCACATCCAAGAAAAGGTCATTTCGGTGTCAGATGTATTCCTTTTCAACAACAACAAAAATGTTTTTGCTGCTGATTTTCCACAGCCTACCAATGCAGCTGTGATGGTATGGATCCATGGAGGAGGGTTCTCCGTGGGAACAGGGTCTTCCTATGGTCGATATGGTGTACCCCTGGTAGCTGTCGGTCAGGATGTGATCATAGTCACACTCAACTACCGACTCATGGTCTGGGGTGTTTTTAACACAGGTTTGTATCATTATGAATTGATAATTTGATCCACTGTAGGCAGTGAATTCCTCCCAGAAGTGTGACAATCCACGATGCCCATATGGCAAAGAAACATACCAGAAAAATATAGGGAAATTTTGTTCCAAAAGGTCCACTATATACCGACAGCCCGTGTGACCGACAGTCTACGAGACGGACTATATCGCAGTCTGTTCAAACCTACAAAAATCTGAATCTAATAATTTGAATGCATCCACATATTATATAAATGATAAAAGGAAAGGGATTCCCCTAACTTTATTTGATAGGGCAAACAATTATATCTTGTCTATTTAGATATGTATAATATACTTCTGTTCAGATACCGCTCATGATTTTGTTTAAACACAAGAGCAGGTATACCTCATAACCTGTTTGCCATGGTTATTCATATTTAGTGATATTATAAACCAGTTATAAACTAGAATGAATTATGATATTGCTGCTACTGCCTGTATTTTTATTAAGCTCGACAAGGCGGTTTTACTTATCACTTAAAATGAAAGTCTACATTTCCTGAAAGTCGATCATTGAAAAATATATTTTGTCAATAGAAAAATTAGACGTTATTTATTTGAATTATGTCAAGTCTCCATTGTTTAAGTTCTTATCATTCCGCCTTATCATAGGGCCTACAGACGTAAGCTAGACTTTCATTTCAATCATTAACATAACTTATGACCTCCATTGTATAATGTTATCAAGCTAAAATATATTTAAAATGTTATATGGCATAATCTATCGATATTGGTAGTACTGATCATGCTATACTCGAACTTCGTATCTTTTGCAGTTTGCCTATATAGTTACCTCTATACCAGCGATCAAATAAACCGTTTTTTAGGCAAATGTCAAAGTACCTTCCTGGTTATCATTTATTTACATTAAACAATTTCACCTCCATTCCATTAAAGATGAATAATTCAGCAATTTGAATGCAGTTATGTAATGATCAAATGGATTTCCTGACGCATTATTTAGAGAGGGCACTCAAAAAGTTATTGTCTATTTATATATGTTTACTTCATTTCAAATACCGTGCAAGTATTATAAAATCAAGTAGAACATCTTAACAATCTCTTGTTTTCACAAATTGAGTCCTTCAGTAAAACCATGTGTTAACATTGCGAAAAGTCTGCTTCATTTTCTGCTGTCACTTTAGTTGACCACACGATTTTTATTGCATTGTTGGATCGACATTGACATTAGATGGCGAAGTGCATTTGACCAAAATAATTAATATTATCAGTAAAATGGTGAAGTCACTTTCCTCTTTGTTATTTGTCAAGTTAATAGTGCCAGGAATGCGTATCCGGACACCTACCCCCTGTACATCCACCCCCGGATAACCACCCCAGTAAACTACCCCATAGGACAATTACCCCCTAGGACAACTACCCACTAGGACAACTATCCCCAGATAATTACCCCCGGCTACTACACCCTAGGACAACTACCCTTTAGGACAACTACCTCCGCACAACTACCCCCTGGACTACTACCCCCAGACAACTTCCCCTAGGATAGTTGCCCGGGGGTAGTTGTCCAGGGGATAGTTGTCCGGGGGATAGTTGTCCGGGGGTAGTTGTGTATTTCTGATCTGCTGGTGTTTTCAAAACTTGAAACGTAATTGTCTTTGTTATGTAGCATGATCAACCTTCCCGCCAGTTTTTTTCTGTTTCTAGTTACCGAAATATAGTCTGGAAATGTAATGCTGTTATAGTCATCACACCAAGTTTCCTGTATAGCCAAAAGACACCGGCATGGCTTCTTCGCAACTGTTTTTTTCAAATCATTATATAATAAAAAAAATCATTTTCATCGAAACATTTTATTATTTATTTCGTTGAATTTCTAAAGTTGCTTTTAAGTGCTTTTTCTTTCAAAGGTCAATAATACTGATTGAAAGATTTTCATTTCACCATTGATTAAAAAAAATGTTTTAAGGCAACAATGATTTTGTCCTTCTAAAGCAATTCCAGAAATTCCTCCTTTTTAACATAAGTTTTCTGGACTTACTCTTATCAATGATTCTCTTTTCCTGTGTCCGTGTGGGTCATATGGGGTGACGTTTACTGTATTTCCTGTATTGCCACTTGCCGTGCATGCATCTTAACCCTCTATCTTTATAAGTCTTCTTCTTTTTTCTACCTTACCAATTTGTCTTATTTATTGGTGTAAAAATTTGGCCTTTTTAAGTGGATGAATTTGTGAGATGTTTTGATTGACCCCTTCTGTATTCAATGGTATGCCGATGCTTTTATCAGTGGGTGATTGTACAAAAAAATTGTCATTGCCCTTATTTACATATTTCATACCATGACCCGTGCGCAACCAATCAACGTACGATGCAGTTGTTTGCAAAATATAACAATCATTACTTGATATCACTTAACAATTTACATGGCCAAAGTTTCGTTTTTATGGTTTAGTATTGGTATTGACAACATCACATGATAGATTTTATATCGTGAGGGTTTACCATATTATGTTGACTATATTTCCGTCATACATTGTCATTTCTAAATGATAATTGATATGCATAAACTTGACGTCATTGGGTAGACTTTCGGTCACGCCTATATGTCCGGCCGTGCGCGCGTCAAACTTTAAATATTTGTCAAAATGCTAATTTTGGACTAATTAACTACACATTTTAGACCTTTTTTTAACATTGATTTGCGCGCGTTTTATATTTTGTTAAATCAGATCTTGATGTAATACACGTAGTTTCAACCGTGCGTCATGTCTGAATGATGTCATGTCTGTTTATTTGGTCTATATTAATTCAGGAGATGATGTTGCTACGGGTAACTATGGACTCCTGGATCAGCAGCTTGCTCTGCAGTGGGTACAGGACAACATTGGAGGTAAGATAGTGAGAGAGAGAGAGAGAGAGAGAGAGAGAGAGAGAGAGAGAGAGAGAGAGAGAGAGAAGAGAAAGAGGGGATGTGTTATAGGGAAAAGCAGGGGCACTCAAACTATTAATGGATTTTCTAGACACAAAGACCTTCCGTGCGGCAATATAATCAAATGGAATAAAATGGTTATCAGTAGAGGCCGAAGGGGAGAAGGGAAAAGTGAGTCATTGAGAAAGAAAAATTCAGTGAAAAGGGAGTATAGAAAACTGAGAGAGAAAGAGAGAGAGAGAGAGAGAGAGAGAGACAGAGATTGGGATGATGGGGAAGGCGAGGAATCGGTATTAATTGATACAAATATGCATGAGTGCGTGTAACGATGTTGATACCGCAAAGCACATAATGACTGTGTATAATTCACCCAAGTTTAAAAGGAATATTATTTTCAATCGAAAGTATTAATAACAAACATTAAACCATTTAAATGTGGTTTCCTACTCTCTAGCATTTGGAGGCGATCCCAGCACAGTGACCTTGTTTGGAGAGAGTGCTGGAGCAGCAAGTGTCGGTTTCCATCTTCTCTCAGAGGGAAGCAAAGACCTGTTCAACCAAGCTATCATGCAGGTTCGTTGTTGTGTTTGTTGTTTTGGTTTTTTAGGCTGTCCATCTAAAAAGATTTTTTCCGTCTGGCAATGCTGTTTTTCGGGTTCTTCATCAATGATGATTAGCTGGCGCTGTTTCTTTTTCTTTCCTTCTTTTTCTGGCTCATATATTGATTCAGTTAGTTTCACAGCTTTTGTTCAATCGATGGTGTGGGCAATACGTTAGGAGTCGACCATGAACAGAATGCGAGTATTAATTAATCAAAGTTAACCTTGCAGTGTACTTTCATTTCTTTCCTCTCCGAGAGAGAGAGAGAAAGCGAACATGAAATGAAATGAATAAAAAATAAATTTTGGCTTTTAGACCTATATATAATAAACCACAAAAAAATACAATTTGCTCTGAAGGTCTTTCTAAAGGGCAAAATGTAAGTGTATATTTGGAGAGACAGGTAAGCCCTAGACGAGGGTATAATGTATGTTGTAAATGTATTGAACAGATGTAAGTCCTTCCGTAATTTGGTGTAATGCCTTCTATAACAATAATCAATCTCGATTTTAGTCGCAATTGGGCAGAAAATGATTAGCAACATGAATAACACGGAACTCAATCACTGGTCATGTATACTAACGTATCAAGGAATATATCAATTTCAATTAATCTCGAGCTTTTGTTATTGAGCTAAAAATACATAAAAGGCTCACATGTTAAAGGTACTATATCCCATTTGCAGGCCAAAGCAATGAAAATGTTACATTCCAACGGCATTTGAAAGATAATTTAGAACTTCCATCAAAACGACAGGGCTTGAAAATGTCTTCAAGTGGGAAAATAACGACCAATAGAATGTCAAATCGACTTAAGTGATTGCAATCCATTTAGTATAGTCTGATTCAATCAGTTTAGTTTTGGCCAATACAATAATTTGGTTATTGATGTAGACAAATGCCGCTCATGTACCCTTTACTACGGAAGCCCATTAGTGCCACCATACGAAATAAAATTTAAGAGGAATTATCTGGAGGCCGCCACTTAATTATTTGGCGGCCGCCAGATAATTATGTGGCGGCCGCCAGATAATTCCTCTTAAATTTTATTTCGTATGGTGGCACTAATGGGCTTCCGTACTTTACAGCTTATGTGTATGTATGTTATTACTAAAGAAAAAAAAAAGGAGTCAGTCAGTCACTCAATGTCTGACAGTTAAGTCTAGAAAGTAAAAACGGGTTTCCTTGCATAATTTGAATGCTAGGATGCACTGCTAACGTTTAAATGTATAGATAGGACATACGTGACATGTTCATAATTCCTACAAAGTTCTAAAGAATTTGATGTTGGCTGCAAATTTTGACATAGTATACCTTTAAATGTGATGACAAACCTGTCAAATAGTCATTATTCTGGCTTTGCGTACGTAAAAGACATTGCTTGAGTCGAGATGCTTGAGTTTAGAAGTAAATTGAATTGAATAAGCAGTTATTAAATTCAACTATGAGAAACTTACGGACACACTTTTAAGAAAGACCCTATTAAACAATGTCAATACCTCGTGTGGATTGCCTATATAAATAATACATTAGAATATGCTCCGTTGGTAAATTTGAAGTTCAATGTCAGCGATGATGCGGAAACGCATAACAATTTAGAGTATTTGAAAAAATTGATGGTACTATTTTGTATGTACTAGGTGTTTCATGTGAAAATTGAATGTTTAGAATGTATAGAAGAGGGATAATGGAGAAATGGAATGAAGAACCATAACTATGCGAGCGAGGGAGGCCTAGGGAGGAAGAGATATAGATAGATAGAGAGAGAGAGAGAGAGAGAGAGAGAAGGTGAAAATGAAATGGGGAAAGGGAATGTGAACAAAAAAAGATGATGAGAGAATCGGCTTCCACATGCCTGCGATTATCGCTGGAATTGTTAATATGCATTTCATTCACCAAGGAAGACGACCGCCCCTCCCCCACCACCACCACCTCAGGATGTAACCAGTACATGCACACCAGTTACGTCATTTGGTAATAGGGTAACCATGGTAATAATACGCAAAATGAAAGTTATCTCGTGAATGTGCACCATACATCATGCAATAAAATGAATTTTGGATTTTCATTGTATCTGTGTACATAGGGACATTTTGCAAGAGAAATAAACGAAATAAACTCTCAAAAAATAGCTGATTATATAGTGCATTTTTAAAAACATAGGCAACTGCTTTTCAAATGATCACAGGACGACGGAAGAACATAATAGTGGTGGATTTAGTTATATTGTTTTGTGACATTAAAGAAACTGTTTTGAAAAGCATTTGAATTTTATGTAATGGTGTTTTGTCCTTTTCTTCCGGACTTGTGAGAGTACTTGGGACAATTTTCATCATCATTCTTTTTGATGAGATTCTATAACTCCTCAAAGACAAATAAAATATGTAAATTATATGTTCAATATAAGACTCTTATGGTCTTGTTGAGGATTTTTAACTTCCTCAGAAAGTACACACCTTCCATCTCTCTCTCTCTCTCTCTCCCTCTCTCTCTTTCACTCTCTTTTTCCTTCTCTCTCTTTCTCTTTCTCTCCTTTACTTCTTAGAGTGGAACATCTCTATCACCATGGGCACTTCGCCATGAACCGGAAGCAGACCGAGAGGAAGCAATTGCGCTTGGAGCTAAAGTTGGATGTGATTTTACAGACTCCACTCAACTGGTAGATTGTTTGCGGACTGTTGATGCTGTGACTCTTATGAATGCTTTCTGGCAGGTGATTCCATAATAACACCCTTTCGTACGCTTACTGTCTAATGTTTGTTTGCACTTAACTTTGTGCACATACATATAATTTTAGATTCATGACATGTCTGAATTTTTCGAGTCGAAATGAGCGAGTTAAATTTGTTTCTTTTGTATAAATATGCCTATTTTGTATCTTTATACCATTGAAATATCACAAATTTCCTCCGCTAAAAACATGCACAATAAAGTTTAACCATGAACCTCATTAACATTACTTTTAGATTACTCATGTAAATAAAACAGTCCTTAAAAGAAAAGAAAAGAAAAGAAAAAAACATTTTCAAAGATAGTCATTATGATATATATTTTGCATACAGAACCCTTTTATTCTAGTTTGGAAATTAAATAGGAGTGCCGTTAAAGACTGGCTGAAATATTATGAGACAATCCGATGTCATAAACGAGTATCACTTTAGGTACATGCAATGTCAAGTCCTAAAAAAGAAAGATCAATAGGTCAAGTTGATTTTCCTCTCGAAGAACAAATTTGAAGTCGCCGGGAAAATTTGGCATTGGAGTAGATGACGCAGACTGAGATGATTTGAAATATCTATTAAATGGAGCATTATGGCGATGATCATTGATTTCATAACTTCATTAATGTTTTCATTGTAGGTATACACTCAGAGCTACATTCGTGTAGACGGTATATTTCTGAAGGATTCCCCGGCGAACCTCTACGCCTCAAGTTCCTTCAAGAAAGCAGCAATCCTAGCAGGTTACAACCAAGACGAGGGCTACATCGCAGCAAAAGACTTGTTCAGCGAATATCAGGGTGATGAAGTTCCAACGATGCCAAAGTCAATGTACACTGCTGCACTTCCAAACGCTCTGACTGGTAACACTGAAGATATTGTGATGAGATCCGTTGACCAGCAGTATATAGACTGGACACAGGCTGATAATACGAGCGCGGACTATCTTACTGCCTTCACCGAAGCTGTTGGTGATCAACAATTCTCGTGCCCAACTGATCACCTGATACGTGCCCATGCCCAATCAGGAGACACAGTCTTCCAGTATTTCATGACGCATGCCCCCAGCACGTAAGCATAAGCTTGCTATATAATGGTCATTTAAACAAAATATAAAGACAAAGTAGTTTGGGAAAATCATTTATTAACAACATATCATAAAAGAATCGATGTTCATAATAATGAGGAGATTATGATGATGATGATGATGATGTTAATGATGATGGCTTCTTGTATGGCGCCGTTATCCCCCTCTGCATGCTGTGCGCTGAAGACCCTTGCTCTACAATGTCTCAACTTCAAGATTTCCCTACTTTAATGTACTCAAATCCTTTGAAAAAACTAAGTTCAATGTGCTTATGCTTGTTCTCAGTTTTCCCATATTCGCCTCATTTTTAATTTTAATTTTATTATTATCATTTTTTTAATTTTATTTATTTATTTATTTTTTTTTTTTTTTTTTTTTTTTTTTAATTTTTTTTTTGGGGGGTTCACTGTAAGCGAATTTAGTTTGGTAAGTGAGTTTTAAAAGGTTTGGCAGAATAAGCAAGTTCACGGTTGCAGTCTGAGCATGAGCAGATAAAGGTCATTGCAGAACAAATTTTGAAATACATGGAGACGAAATACTGGATACGTGCTCATGAAAGTTATGTAACATTATTCATTCATGCACATTCAGTGCACTCCATTGTACACAGGTGGAAGTATTCTTTGAAAAGTGGGGAACAAAGGCTATTTATAAAGCACCTCCATCGCTGTAGGAGTGATTATTTCAAAATGTACAAAGTGGGACCTCTTCATGTTTTGAAGATCTGTGGATATTCGGGGTCATAGCAGTAAGGTGCTAATCGTGAACTGGTCTATTGGTATATCCGCGGGGTAGGGGATGGGGGGGGGGGCTCAGCCACTGACATCAATCTACAAAGAATACTCTTAAAAAATAAAAATACTTTGGTAAATCAACAGGTCATATTTCCAATCTGGACCAGGTGGTTCTGGACCAGGCTGGCTCGGGGCGACCCATACAGAGGATATCCAGTTTGTATTCGGGTGGCCGTTTATTCCCGAATGGATGGCCGATCGTCGAGCTCTGCATGATGACGAAATCGAACTGTCGGTGAAAGTCATGACCATGTGGACCAATTTTGCGAAATATTCGTAAGTCATAATTTGAACTGTGATCATAAAAGTATCGTTTATATATATATATATAGGATTTTTCGGCCAAATTCGCGAGTTTGTCATTTAAATTAATTTGTCTTGCGTTCAAATTCGACGGTTTTAGTGCTGTCAGGCATATCTTGGGATTATATTCCTTTTTCTAGTTTTCAAATCTATGAAGTTTTCGTTAGAATCTATGTATTTTTCATTCAAATTAATGAATAATGTGCTTCTTTCGCTATTTGGTCATTTGATTTTGCGCAACACGATTTCTGACATCGCGAAGGTGTACTTTTAGCATTCAAATTCATTTGTAGCTTTCAAATTAGCACTTTCTGCACTTAAATTGATGGTCAATATACATTTTTCGCTTATTACATAGTTTTTATAGCTCATTCTTTTTCTTTCAAGATTGTTTTGTCCATGTGTATTTCATCATGTTTTATTTTCTTGCATTTATGCACTTTATATACTTTTAGATTTATCTTATATTCACCATCCTTTAAGTTTGATTGTTAAGAAGGAAAAAAAAAGACTTACATCTACGGACTTGATGGTCCAATATTTTTATAAATTTTCATGTAAGGAGGTTATTTGTCTTGTGTTTCATCATAAATTTATCACAATTACATTATGGAGGAAGGGTACAATATTGTGACTGGGGTAGGTATTTTTGTATCCCCCCTTTCGGGGTATATGAACTATCCGTGCAGAAATGCCATATCCCTTGATTTCGCCTCTTCTTTGTCCTCAAAATTAATAAATGGAATAACAGAAAAGACCCTAATGGCAAATAATGCATTTAATTGCATTTTTTTTTCAAACTGTAAACGTGTGTTGCATTTCTTCCCCCTAACATTCCTAACTTGAATAAACATATAATTCGAACACGAATGACAGGTGTTAATTTGAATGATAAAAATGACGCTTCGACAAGGGACGATTAATTTGAATGCTAGTTGAGCAGTTTCTAAATTAAATGACAGATCTATGAAACCCTTCGACCAAAATGCTAAATTGAATACCAAGACGAGAAAATTGAATGATAATTGGCATGGCAAAGCCGATCTGCGCTAACTTAAATGCAAAGTAAATGAATTCGAATGACAAACTCGCGAATTTCGCCGGGAAATCCTATGTTAAAAAACTGTAGGAAAAAAAGGGATAAAGGTAGGCCGATGTTGTGTAACTGTATATAGGTAGAATAACTCACAGCAAATGGGTGTGACGACCCTCGGTATAGCATTTTGTCCAATGTTCAAGTTAGGAATTCGATTAGTGTAGGATATTGACAGCAAAATAAATTTGTCTTACGATACGAAATAGTACTCAAGTCATCATTAAACATTAGAAATACGACAGATCGGATCCATTTAGTAATTGTCTTGATTTTTTTTCTTTCAACTAGACACCCTGGCAAGATGAACGCCAGCGCTGAACCAGCTGCAGAAGGCGACAACTATTGGCCTAAATACACTATACCTGAGCTTGAATACAAAGAGCTCTCCTTGGGTTTGACCACTGATCGTGCAGTCAGAGCAAATGAGTGTGCGTTCTGGAACTACTACGTGCCAGATCTTATTCGGTTTATCGGTAAGATCTCACTTCTCACGAATGATAGAGCAATGAGGATTACGTTAAGCCGAAGCGGTTTAGTGTCACCTTTTAATGATCTTTTGCTCAAGAATGCTTTCAATTACAAAGTGCAAAATTCATTTGAAAATTTGAGTCCATTTCAGTTGCAGTACATTCAACTACATTGTGCCGTTCATGAATAAGAGCGATACAATCGAAAATAACCATTGTAGTCTCTAAGTTGGCAACACAGTGAAAGTTTCGTGTACAAATTGGCGATTTCTTGTTGATTTTGTGTAGTTCTCTTTCAAACTGTTTCCATTAAAGGTGAAATTCAAAGAAAATTACAAACATGTCAACTAATGTATCACTAGAAAGTGATAAGCTAGCAAATGGCCATCGTACAAGTTTTAGTTCAACTACATTATCGAGTGATTTATAAAAATACAAATACAACCACCTCCATAGGATATACGAGAAATACGCCGGAAATATAACGATGTTTTAATGACGTCACTATATGGACCACATCCCATAAAGAATGAACATAAATTATGTGCAAAGCTATTATTTGTCAAATTATAATGAATTTAGCGTATATAAATGTAATGGCATGTCAAACCATTCAAAAGGGGATATGACCCGATTCTGATAACTAAAATCTTTTGCTTGTAAATACACAGTATAGGGGTTATTTAACAATCAAAGAAACCTGACTTTCAAATTGAAAACCACCCGGAATGATATTATGGGCGGCATTTGTTCCCTCTTGAAACGCCGAACATACCGCGGTGTGTGCATCTGAATATACAATGGCGTCTTATTTTGTTTACAAGCGACAGATTCCTTTATTTTTGTATCGCTGCATTTTTCATCAAAATAAAACCATGCGCGGGGTTTAGAGTGAGGCAATAGATTAGACATTTAGCCTGACGGTAGTGAAGTAAGAGAAAGAACTCAAGAGAAGATGAAACACAGGCACTGGAAATGTGTGAGATGTCATGGGACATCGTCTGCTTGTGCAAATCATGTCCATACTGTGATCTCACACATTTCAGCAGCGTTCGGAGAGCTCTTCATGTGCTATGCCGGGGCTGTATTTAAGCGTTTTGTAATTTATAATAATCATCACTTCGAATGTTTCCAAGCATTGAATTTTGATAACCTTGTCGAATCAAGGTTTCAACTTTGCAATAATGAAAATAAAGTTAGTTTTAAAACCAATGAATATCTACTTTAACATTAAAGTAAGAGAGGGCGGAAAATACAAATAATTGCTGCCAATTTGAGGAGGAAGAACTAACGCACTTAGACCAATAGAAAACTCTGAACTGCTATAGGTATAGACTGATCATTATCTGACAATGGTTTTAATGAATAAAACAAAATTCTCTTGAGAATGATTTCATAGAAACATGGAATAGATGTATTAGACAATGTGGTAATACCTTGACTAATTTTAATAAATATTCCATCACTCAAGGTTATTTACAGATTCCTTTTTTTGCAACAGCAGCAACAGACGATTCGATTTTGTTTAATGATTTCACTTATTTTGCAAAATGATTCCAGTTCCAGACTTGTTATAACATGTCCTTCCGTTTCAATGTATTGATTTAAGTCAATAACGATCACTTTTTTTTTCTTCAAAAGTTAAATTCTCGTTTGATAAACAAATCCATTTCATTGTTTTATGTTTATTGAGTCGATATTTATCATGTATATGCTTATATTAAAAGATTATAAAACAAATCGAATCAAATTTCATAATTATAATATTTTTCTGAAATCATTTTTCATTTTACACATTTCTGTAATTTATTACAACCAACGATTGCTCATCTCATGTCACTTTGTTTTTTATTTTTCAGAGAGTGTAACCGAAGATGAAAAAGAATGGCGTGAGGATTTTGAGATGTGGCAAGTCGACATGGAAGAATGGAGAAATGTTTTTGATGAATACCAACAAACAATAGAATGCTGAATAATGATCATAATTCCGAGGCCATGGGAAAAGCTGGAAAGTCATGGAAAATCAATTCTTCTAAAAAGTCATGGGAAGTCATGAAAAATGATTGTGGTTGTGGGCCGTGTGTGTATATGGCAATTTTAACTGACAATGGACATTAAAGTATTAATATCATCACCCATTCTTATTATTATTTAGTGTCATTTAAAAATCTGGTGATGGACAGTCATAAAATTCGATTATCAAATTTCTGTGGGAACCGAGACTAATTAATTTTTTTCTGAGAGTATTTTGTTTTCGTCTTTATCAGAAGTCAAGATTGCCTTTTTAAGATCACTTTTTTCAGGCAAACTTGAATTCTGCTAAAGACAGTGAACGATATTTTCTCTGAATTGAACAAATAATCCTGAATATTCAGCAACAGAAATAAGGTTAATTCAGATATACTTTTTTTTTTAATGTCAGAAAATCTCAAAATTAGGTATGTGTCCAACTTAACTCTAATGCCATAAATGTCTTAATGTGTCTATCTATAAGAAGTCCAATTAACTTCTGTGTTACTATTTGAAGAAGAAAAAAAAAACAATTCTGTAAATTAAAAGACCTAATTAAAAGGAAATGTGTTCTACAAACTGCAAACTATAAACACATCCTTATTCATAAGGAGAATCTCATACAAATTGCTGTTTTGTGTACGGTTTTTATCTGCGAGTTCTCCTTGTCACCCTGACCTTCAAACAGGTTTTTCCCTCTAGTGTTAATCTACTCGTAATCACCGAAATAGGGTAATTATTTGTTAAAATTATATTGATTACAAATGTGTCCCTGCTAAGCACTGATGATACACATCATTAGTTTTCACGGTCACTGCCTAGTTGAAAAGTATAATTACCATAATTATATTGGCATATCAACATTGAAGCCGTTGACATTTAGCTCCGTTTCAAATGCAGTTGTAATTGGTGCAATTTTATATTACCTGTGTGTGGTATGAGAATGGGGGTTCAGCTAGGAGTGAAAAGCGTTTTTTGTTACAACATGTAGGCATATAAATTAAATGCAGAGATAATGATTAACTTCAAATGTTTCAAGTGAAAGAAAACAACTGGTATTTTTACATTTTAAAAATCTACCACATCGTTCTTGAAATACATTATTACAAAATATGCAGATCGTCCTCGTGATAATAATAATAATAATATTTAAAAGAAGATGATAATGAAGATAATAATAATGTTACTGATAATGATAATTATGATAATTTAGTCTTATACAGATATTACTTTGATTTGATTAGACATCGACAATTTTTATCAGAGAAAAAATCTATGATTATCGCCAAATGAAAGAATACTAATGTGGTCAAAATTCGAAGCTATAAAGGAAACATAACAATACAGATTTGCGCAAATGAGCATTTTCGTTTTGTCTCCGTCCAATTGAAATTCACTTCTGGTGTAAGTTTGTTAAGTCTTTAATATACTTTAAAGTTTTGAAAAGACGATTAGATATCTCTTGTTGTTTTGAGGTAACGCAATGTGTGTGAGTGTGTGGGTGTGTTTTAGTTTGTGTGTTTGTGCGTGTGCGTGTTTTATGTGTGCGTGTTTTGTGCGTGCGCGCGTGCGCGTGTGTGTGTGTGTGTGTGTGTGTGTGTCATCGGGAAAAAGACACCACGCAACAAACATCACTCTGCAACAGGAGAGAATAAAGTAAAGGCAAAAGGGGCTTATAACCATCCCTTGAAAATACTAGATGTCTCATTGATCGTTGTACCGTGTGTGTAATATAGCTCCAATCTGAAAGTGCATATCCATGTATTCTCTAATCAACTTATGTCAATTTATAAATGGACTTAGTGAATCGCAATTAAAATGGCAATTATAGCTCGCTGTTGCACATTGTGATATCACATAAAGTTGGAATATAAGAAAGAGAGGCAGAATATTTTTTTATTTTTTATTATTCAACATGCATTTTGGTAAAATGTGAATGTCGTGTTTTGTTCCTCTCTCTCTCCCTCTCTTTTTGTATTCTCCCTCCAACCCCTCTCTGGTTGTCAGTGTTCTTTGCAAGCTCTCTCTTGTTTACTTTTCGGAAAGCCCTTGTTCTCCTCCAGACAAATTCCCCAAGCTCTTTTCTCGAGTGTTTCCTCTACGACTTCCTTTCTCTTGATTCTCGTGCTCTCGGCTGCCTCTTACATCATTATCAACAAACCTTTTCTAATCAATATTTATATTTAAAAATGAAACCTCTTAAGTTTTTCCTCATATATTTTCTGGTTGATGACTGAAAAAAAAACTCTTAAAATGTGCAAAAGAACTTCACAGCGCTTTATGAATTTCGAAGTTCTATGCTATTTAAAGATGGACACGAAATCGACATTTTTTGTCTTCGTTTTAACAGCGAGATCAAAAAAAAATTTGTTCAGGGACATGTAATAATGGAAATGACTGTTTGATAAGCAGCCCACTCAGGCGATTGTGTATTCGCTTGATTTGATAAATAATTCTCTCTTGTACATTTCTTCATCAAGTCTCGTCTTCTGCTCAATGCCCTTGTAATATGAGATAAGTGGGTGAGATTTTAATTAAAAATTAAATTGAAATTTTGCTGACTTCAAGATTACACTTCACAAATAGTTCACATCCAGCATTTTCTTCTTCTCGTACTTCTGAATCGTCTTGGAATCGTAACGACATCATGCCAGTGGTGCGATTGTCTACGATTTGAAGCCAATTCGGCTTATATTCTGACCACAATTCTGGTTGTAAATATTCTTATCATTATCTAGAATTTAAATCCAGAGGACATAGGTAGTTTAAATGTCCATATAAAATACAACAACCATTTCAAATAAAATCGGATCAAAGGAGGATCGTGTAGTGTGCGCCGGGCTTTAGATTTCATCTCGAGACCCTGCATTCAAGACGGGACTTGAAATACGTAGTCAACGTGAACTAGTTACCAGGCACAGACTTTATGTTTTAACTCGATTGAAAAGACTTCCCATATATCAACTCGATGTCAATTTTCATATAATATTGTATATCTCATAGAGATTGTGTTGGGATTACCCTAACGTTATTGGATTAACCGCACAGGTCAATACTTGATGGACATGGCTATTGAATTGCCTGAGTCTGATTTTTGTTGTTGAAAGTCCTTGCGATCATATTAATTCCATGAAACTTTGAGACTAGCCTAACTTTGGCAATCCCTATTTTAGGATCAGCTCTAGTTCAGGGCATTTAATATCTACATAGCCTTACACTGCAGAGTTTATGTTATGCGTTACAAATAGTGAGTGATTGTGCATGAACCACATAGCTCCCTTGTATAACATGTTTGTCATAATTTAATTTACATTTTCTACCCAAGAATATTCATATCATAATGCCCAAATAATTCATTTATTCTTTTTATTTGAACTTAACATATCCAACGCAATGAGAAAGAAATAAAAACCCGATAGATAATCACGTATATGTAGAATTCGGGAGTTAAACATCATTATGCATGGTCTAATTCATCTTTTCCCACTTCTTAAAGAAAGAGATTCAGAATAGGAAAGATATTCAGAATAGGCCTGCAATAAATGTTAGACATTACATGTATGTACTCCTAATCATGGATGCTTCTTTGTTGAGATTCTATTGATTATCAATCATTGCTTTCATCTTTTACAGTGAATTGTACTTCATCTTTCAAAATGCTTGTTGCATAGGTAAGTTGTTGCTATATCAGACGAACCTCCGTTAAGCTCTATGATCATCACCACCATTGGATTATCAGCATGCATTAAATTGGAATAGATTTGCGAACCGGTCAAAAAGAGGCTTACACCAACGTCAACATTGTCAGAAGTACATTGGCATTAAACAAAAATGGGAGAAATTTATTTCAATCCATGTTGCATAAAACTAAAAAAAATGATGACCATTACTTCTCATAATGTGTTTACCCAGTCAAGCGCGTTGGATAATTAAAAACCTTTTCTTCTTCTTTACCAGCGCCTATTATTGATTTTGAGATATGACAAATCAGGAAGTCTCTTCATTCTAATTGCATTTTGATTTGCATTTGTGCTACCGAATACAATAAAGCAATCTTCTAATGCTTGAATAACATTCAGATCAATACAGGAATTAAAAGAAACATAATTCGTAGCGGGAGTGGCCAATTCTTTTTTTCTTTCTAAACGCCGGTCTTTGGGCAAGGTTGAAATGATATTGTTGCATACGTCGATTTCTGTAAGAATATATCTGATGATAGAAGATTAATTTTTAAATTAATATAAAATTATGTATGATATAACGTGCCGAATATTATTATTTTTTTTTCGTTTTTTTTTTTATTCGTTCAAACATTGATGTGACATGGATCCAATAAATGTTGCTATGACGTAGTAGGCCTGTATAGTATAAAATGTAAAGCATATAACATGCACATTCTTTAATTTTCTAATTAAAAAAAATATATATAGAATTGAATGCTTACCGCTTATAATTATTTTCAGATATGTACGATGTTGATCATAAGCATAAGAGACGGGAGTACTCACTCGGTGGATGCAGCGACTCGAGAATTTTGAAATTACCAATATTCAAGCAACAGCCATCTCATGCTTGATTGTCTGAACAACCATGATCTTAATTTCTTTCGCTGGCCTTCATCATCATGAACGTAAAGAACGAAATCTTCCTTTCCATTTTACTGTCCATTAAACTTTCAAGATCATGTCTATGGACTAAAAGCGAGGATATATTTTTTCTGTTTCTTAGCCTTACCGCATCTTAACAAGATCTCCGCATCATGTGTACATCAACGACATAAACAAGGACATGTTAGAAAAGACCCAAGTTCCCAAGAGTATGGGTTAAAAGCAAGCAAACATGAATTTCATACATCTTTAAATAGAGCGCAGAATATATGCTAAAAATAAAAAATAAAATAGAAATAGAATATAAATAAAATTATAGACACACACACTCACATACAAATTGTTCATTTGTATTGTCTGGAATGTACGTTTAAGTTTGAGTACTTCATTTGTCATAAATTCCCAATAGAAGACAATATGCTTCCACAAAGAAAACAGTTATCATTTTGTTTTCCTTTTTCTTTTCTTTTTCTTTACAATTTGCAGAATGAATTTATCTGCAAACGACTAGGCGGAGGAAGGTGTTGTATTGAATATTATTGTAATTTATAACACTTTAGATTGATTTCGCCCCATAAGCTCTAAATAATACCTAAATACATTTATACATAGAAAAATCTGAGCTACAAAACACCCAAAATGCCGTTTCTTTTTACACAATCATGTCAAAATGAATATTCGGTTGCGAGAACAATGAGTTTCGATAACGGAAGGCGAAAGAAATGAAAAGCATTAGGTATTTTATGAATTCATCTTGCAAAGGCATCATGATTTTCATGGTTACAAAAAATATGCATGTGCTCAAGTTTTGCAAACAAGGGTTAAAATGTAATATTCCGCCAATATTCCGGCGAAAAGTGTGGAAAAAGAAATTTTTAAAAGTGAAAAGGGGGTGGAAAGGAGGAAGACGAAAATAGAGATCAAAGGACCCCTCTCACACCCTCCCCCTTAATCGATGGCCTTGTCAATTCGCAATATCATTTAGCGTATAAGACTTGTGCCGCCCCTAAAG